TGAAAAATTTCGATTGGGGCAAAAAATTTTGTTTTCTTTTGAAAAGTTGCTTTCGAAAAATTTCCGTGTCCCTGCCTGGCGTTGTTCAAAATAAACACGTGTACGTACACGCGTTCGTATAGCATGATAACCATTAGGTGATCGTTAATTATTTATATTTAACTTATATTAATCAAAAAATTATCGTATAATTATTTAAAATGCTATAGTGATGGAAATTTGATGATCTGTTGTACGACAATCGATGTATAAAATATAAAAGGTGAATGTACGATCATTTCCAATTTCTCTTAGACACGATGAACACGATGAACACTACATATCCAGGATTCGAGGGTAAAGGTTCAAGTTCGCAATTTTTCTTATTTACAGACTTACTGATATGATTGACATTTTTAGCCATGAATTCATACTTTAAGGCGGCCGTTACCAATATTTTATACTCTAATTTTCTCTTTACTATAAGAGACGTTATTTTGAATACCGAGCTATTTACTGAAGATTTATTAACGATACGTTCAACTAGCGCCAAAAGATAGGGTATAGGTTTTCTATGTCAAAAATTTTTCTGACCCTTATTATATTATTTCTATGCCTTCTGGTTGTTATTATGGATGCCATAGAACGGCTTAGAGGGCTCTTGGGCGCTTCTGGTTGTTATTATACATGTGATAAAATGATTTGGAAGTTTTATGCTTCTAGTTGTTATTATACATTGTATTGAACGATTCAGAGGTTTTGCTGAAATTTTCGATGCCCAAGTGATGTTGGGGGCGCTTCTGGTTGTTATTATACATTGTATTGAACGATTCAGAGGTTTTGCTAAAATTTTCGGTGCCCAAGTGATGTTGGGGGCGCTTCTGGTTGTTATTATACATTGTATTGAACGATTCAGAGGTTTTGCTGAAATTTTCGGTGCCCCCTCATCAACCTTGCTTTGTGAACTGTTTGCTATTGATAAGTAGTAACTTTGTTTTCTTCTTTTTTAAGAAACATTCACATCCGAATATGAAACTATTTTTTGAAGACCTCATTTCTAAACATAAAAAGGTTAGAGCTTGTCTTTCCTAATGTATTCTACCATCAATCAAAGTTAATATTTTCATTGATATTTACCAACTTCATTGAGCATAGAAAATGGTTCAACGTAATTATATAAAGACCAGTATTGATGTTCTAGATGAAGCACGGGTGTATGGTGCCCAAGAATTAACTTCAGATATGTCGGAAACCCTCGTAGCCAAGAGACGTTCTATGGACAATGGAGCAAATAAACTTAATGTTACGGTTCAAAGTGCTAAAAAGGTCAGCACTAGTGATGGGTGACGAAATTGATGAAATTTGACGAAATAAGTATTTCATCAATTTCGTCACTATGAAAATAATTTTTTGTCAATTTCGTCATTGCGAAAATAATTTCGTCACCCATCTATAGTCAGCATCAAATACAACCTGCTGACGATAATTTTCCGCACGATTGTCTTTTAACCTTTTCTTGCGAATATTCATACAGATTAAAACAACTAAAGATTCATACACGAAGATTTTGATGATTCAGAAGAAAGTGATTTGGAGGTGATTGATATAGTGGTAATCAAAATGATGCCGTCTTGGATGCACTTAAACTTATAGTTTATTTGCGCGAAGATGAAGATGATGAAATCAAGAATATGACAGAGGTATTTTATTTATAGCAACTGTTATATATTTATTTACATTCTATATATCTTAACTGCTGGAAACAGCCATACAAAAAGTAGTAGAACGAGCGACCGCTATTTTGGCGACTTCCGTACCCAATTTTGGAAAAGGCCCGGTAAGTTATCTGTGATGTTGCTTATTAATATTTTATAATCAGAGTAGTTATAATTTGAACATTTATTTTTAGGGTGATAAACGGACTAAGTAATCAAAACTATGTAAGCAGTATTAGCAATTTTATTATGATCAGATTTTTATCAGCGAAATTAAAAATGATCAACTAAAATATTAGTTTATTTAATTAATTATAAAGAAATGCACAAAATTCTAAAAGATTCATCTGAATATTGCGCTTCTTTTTCTAACGTTTTTAAAGTGAAAACTCTTCATAAGGACTGTCTCTAAAAAGTTACGCTCGATTTTTCACAAAAGTTTTAGTAAAGTTTTAGTAAAGTTTTCGTTTATACTTTATCGTATAGAATAAATACTACAAACATGTTATGCAAATTTTATAGAGACCGTTATCTTATATAAAGAGACCATCGGGCTACTTATAGTTATCGTGCACGATAACTATAAATTATGCATCATTTCTCAATTCATGTCAACTATAAATTATTCATCATTTCTCAATTCATGTCAACTATTAATTGACGCATGTTACGTACGGTGTTTTTCAACCGGTATTGGTATAAACTTACAATTAATAAAGAAATCATTGGAAACTTATGCATATATTCAAATTTATGCATGTTTCGCATCATTTTTCTGTATTTCAATTAATTGCCATATTTCATTTTTAAATTAGAAAACAACATAGATCATTCTGTGGTCAATATAATTTTAAAAAAAGTACAGTAACTATAACGATTTGATTAAACATACGAATCATATGTGTGTGTCCGACGAAGTATAATCAATTTTATATACATATGCAAAATATTTTAAATACAATTGCTTTATCAAATAAAACGCATCCATGTCATCTTGAGTATAACAAATTTTTCGATAGTGCTTTAATTATGATTTGTAGCAATTTCCTTAAAAGACTATTATAGGTTGGATGTTTTTGAATATTTTATTATCAATTATGCTAAAATGTTTTAAATATAGTTCTTTAATATTACGAACTTGACATATTGCATTTGCTTAGGTTCATTTGCAGTAAAGGTCCAGACTTTTTTTTGATATAGTTATATAACGATGGTGAGTTATAATAACTTTATTTCTAATCATGCTTTATATAAAATACTACAGCCCAAATTGGTTTTGCAGTAAATAAAAATTTAATACATACATAGAATCTGAAAACAATTAGTTTAATATAAAAAAAAATTAATATACATACATACATACGGTACGTATATGCATATATAATATCATGTACATACTATAAGATTTAAAAGTGTGTGTAAATAAACTTACATTTGCTCTACGTATTAAAGTATTTGGTTAACCGAGATAGTAAATTTCATTGCTATATTTGTTATTTATGATATGTAGCCTTTAAAAATAAAATATAATAGTTTATTCATTTTTAACCGTTCATAAATTTTATAACTGATTAATTAGATGTTGATCGGTTAACAGTTGAACGGTTCCAATCCCTAGTTACCGTAAAACGCCGTATAAGGTACCCCCCTTGATTTGTACCCCCCTTGATTTGTACCGGGTACGTTTCAAGGTCA